AGTTAGAAGCACCGGACACAAGTCTACATTTCAGAACTTTCCTAACAAACCCTGCACAAGTTCCAAGTACATTAATTTGTGACTACCGGAGGCTGCCTGAATCCCCCAATGGTACTTTGGTTTCTGTTGCCTTATGTTATGAGTCTAGTGAGCTTTGCTAAAGCCATGAAATGCATGGACTAGTAGGTGCTTCCCCAGATACCTTGCCCAGATAACAGGAAATACTATGAGTTTGCCTCTCTTCAAATCTGTTTGCCCTGTCTCCTTCCCTCGAAGTGTGCTGATTTTACACTTAAAACTTTATTTAAGCTATTGGTGATTGCCCACCCGTGTTCTCTGTAGCTCACCACATGATTCTTTAACTTTGAGTTTCTCACTGGCTCCCTCAACGTGAGATCCTGAAGCACTGTATCCTCTGATCTCTGCTTAGCATTCATCAGTAGCTCTCATTATTTAGCAAGTTCCTGTAGGCATCAGCCTTGCTTGTTCACCCAGCACTGTTCTCTCCACATTCTCATGACATCTAAAGGGCAGATCATTGAGGTCTTTGTTAGCCATGGCCATGCACCAGCCCATGCTTTAGAATTCCCTCCCTACCTGTCTACCTAGCAACTCCTGCTCACCCTTTAAAACCTCAGTCCAGATTGTTTTGTACATTTTTTTTTAATATTTTTTTCCTCCAGTAAGGCTTTTCTTTTCTTTTTGATTCTATGTTGTTGGAAGTGGTTTTGTCATTTATTTGCCTGGCCTCCTTAACAAGCTCTGTCAAGCCCAGGGATGGCTCTGTGCTCAACTCCAGGTTTCTCACTCCTAATACTGTGATTTAATAGACTTAAGTGCTTTGTAGCTGTTAGTGGGCACATTATTGTTTGTTAGTGGCAATTTAGTCCATGGCAGGATGCCTCTCCCACTATTGTTGCCTTAGACCTCACAGTGTAGCAATTTCATATTCTCCTTGAAAGAGACCTTTTCTGTCCATAACAGTGGAATTTCCAAAATCACAGTTTTCAAACATAGGGCATTCATTTTAAGGTAGGGAAACTATATTACTAAAATAATTTTATATCAAGTATAAAATTCACATTATTTACTTTATAGAAATAGTGGATTATTTTCTAATTAGATGATGTCCTCATTAAGTTTCTGTTGCAGTGAAGAGACACAGTGACTGTGGTACCTCTTATAAATGAAACCATTTAATTGAGGGGTCTCGCTTACAGTTTCAGATATTCAGTCCATTATCATCTTGGCAGGGAACATGGCTTTTTGTGCAGGCAGACATGGTGCTGGAGCTGAGAGTTCTACATCTTGATTCAGAGGCAACAGGAAATTGACCGACTCACTGGGTACTATTCCAAGCATAGGAACTCTCAGAACCCCTCACCCCCACACTTTCTCCAACAAAGCCATACCCACTCTAACAAAGCCATACCTCCTAAGAGTGTCACTCCCTATGAGACTATGGAGTTATATTCACTTATATTATTCAGGCTACCACATTCCACTCCCTGGCCCCCATAAGCTTGTAACGGCATCATAATGTAAAATACATTTAGTCCAACTTCAAAAGTCCTCATAGTTTATCACAGTCTCAACAGTGTTTTAAAGTCCAAAGCTCAAAGTCTCTTCTGAGATTTATGAAATCCCCTGTAAAATCAAATAAAAAAGCAGATCACATACTTCTAACATATAATGGCACAGGATATATATTACCATTCTAAAATGCAGGGAAGGAAGCGTACCGAGGAAATACTAGACTAAAGCAAGACCAAAAACTAGTCGGGCACATTACAAACTCTGCATTAATTCCTTTATACAAGTTGGTAATTTATCTGAGTGGATCTTGCCTCAAAGTTATCACTCCTTGTATTCCATTTCTTAATCCATTTATCTTCTTGAATACAAGATTTAGCTCCATTCCACTTTCTAATGCTCCTTTTCTCCTCAAACAACTCTTAGCACCACTGCCTTCCATGTTCCTACTAGTGTGGCCCATTAAATAGTGCATAAAACATTCTACTGCTTTCCTAACATGAATTCCATATTATTCCAAACAAAAACATGTCCAGGTCTATCACAGAAATACTCCAGTCTCTGGTACCAGCTTCTGTTTTAGTTAGGGTCTTTATTGCTGTAAAGAGACACCATAACTATGGCAACTCTTATAAGAAAAACATATAATTGGGGTGGCTCACATACAGTTCAGAGGTTCAGCCTACTATCATCATGACAGGGATCATGATGGCATGTAGGCAAATGTTATACTGGAGCTACATCTTGCAGGCAACAGGAAATCAACTGAAAGTCATACCAAGGGAAGCTTGAACAAAAGGGACCCCAGAGCCCACCCTCACAATGACATACTTCCTCCAATAGGGTCATACCCCCTCCAGCAAAGCCATACCTCCGATTATGGGGACAATTACATTCAGACTGCTATAGATGATAATTTAGACTTTTGTTTAACTATGTCATCTCATTTCCTCAGATAAAAGATTCAGCGTGGTATATTCTTAGAAACTTTGTCACTTTCTAATTGTCAGCCTTGTAAATGGAACTTTGTTATATTGAATACGTGCAGCACATCTTTCTGATTCTGCTGTGTTTCCATGTGTTTCTCCATTAGAAGTGGGGAATATGAGTAATTAGTAGTGCAAATGGCTGTGCCATGTTCAGGTCACAATGAGTCTGGAAGGTTGGTGCTCTGATTACCTTGTCTTAATGAGAAAAAAATACATTTGTAGGCCAGTAGCACCTTTTTTTATTTCTAGGGCAATAAACATGCTACCAAAAAAAAAAAAAATACATGTTTTAAAATTGTCACTGATATTTTCAGTTCTGAAATTGCTGTAAGGTCTTTTAAGTTGGTGTGAGGAAACTACTCTGTTTGGAGGTACGAAGAGAGAAAAACACTATGCACTTGGCCATCAGTGCTGTCCTTCTCCAGGCCCCCACCTTCAATAGACTCTGACTTCCTTAGTATGGCCCTGCCTGATCTTTCTGTTAAGTCTTTTTGTCATGCGTGTTTGCTTTTACATGCTCACTAGGAAACCTTCAGGAGAATCTACTAAATTAGTTACCAGTGATATTTTAGTACGTTTCATTTTGAAGGACAGTTTGCTCATCTCCATGGTAATGAATTGAAAAATGCCCACTGTCTTTGAAATTTTGATAGTTCACTTTAGGAAGCAATTGGGCTAGTTTTATTTTAAACATTCTACAGCTAAAGTGAATGTTAACATTCATTTTTTTGTACAGTTTAATTTGGGGTTTTGTTTCACCTTTTAAATATAATGCTTTTGTTCTTCAAGAATTCCATGTATGCATACAATGTGGTTTGATCTTTCTCAACCCCTCAGTCATTCCACTAACCCCTCCCAGACCTACCCTCACCTCTCCACCCCCTTCCAACATTGTATTCTTTTTAAAGACTAAAAATATAGTAACTTGTCAAGTTGAGTTTGTGTTGCCCACGTTCTCCCTGGTGTAGAGTCTTCTGCTGTAGCTTCATTAAGCTGTCAAGGACAATACCCTTAAAGAATACTCACACACCTCTCTCAAAGCCATCCGCTGTGCACAGCTCCTGAGTTGTGACTTGCTGGCCTTTCCCTCCTCCATGCTGGAATGACTGGATTGATATCTTATGCACCCTACTCCCATTTAAAGTACTTGGCAGCCCTCAGCTGTCCCTCCTGAGTGCTGAGTCCTGTTCCCAGTCACTCCCAGCCATGCCACTTCAGTCTCTCACTTTTGACCCTGAGCAGCCACTTCTACTGGTGGGCAAGGAGTAAAAGAACACACTGATGAAGTTATATAGGTCGGACCCTGCAGCAGGAGATATGAGAGACACTGTGTAGGTTTCTTTGTGGATTAGCATAGTTAAAAAGTTTTTTTTGTTTTGTTTTTTTGTTTTTTGTTTTTTTGTGAAAAATTCTCTAAAAAACAAACCCAGAGTTTTTGACATTTTAGCCCAAACTATTAAATAGAAAGTATGTATGTGGGAGAAGAAATAAATGATTACTGATTTAACTTACCCCTGTGCCCATTTGTACAGTTTTTACTGGATAACCCTAACTAATGGAAGTCACATATTCTCTGGAGTTTATGTAGGTAGTATCATAGTAAGCTGTTGAGGGTATGCAAGGCTGCTAGGCCTTGAGAACTTGGCTGCTGTGCTTTGGTTTTAGTTCCAAGTGTTCTCTTAGCTGCCACTGAAAAGACTGTTGGGTTGTTGGTGCTCTAAGGGTTGAATTTAATGCTTTGCACATTATGGGACACTTTGCAAGTCGTTAGAATTTTCCATGTGTTATGTATCTCTTGCTAAAAGGGATACAGCATTTGGAAACGTGTATAAAAATGAACTTTAAAATGCATAATAGCTGGAGAAGTGAATGACTAAGTGGTTAAGAGCTCTGAAGGCTCTTGCACATACCAGGATTCAGTTTCCAGCAACCACATGACATGTTACAACCATCTGGAAATTTAGTGAACAGGGGAACTGATGTCCTATTCTAGCCTCCCAAGGGCACCAGGGACATGTGCTGTGCATATATACATGCAGGCAAAACAATGATGTGCATAAAATCAAGTTGACACTATTCTAAAGGTTACCATTAAATGTGAGGGTCACTTAAGGAAATAATTCAAAGTACTAATGAAATTTTTCTCTGTATCCCTTGTAGATAAGGTTGAAGATAATGAATCTAATGGTGCAAAGATTTTTTTTTCTTCATTAAATACTTAAAGGGTTTCTTTTGTCCCATTTAATTTTGGATCTTGTTCAGTGTTTGCTGCCTGTATCACTTTGTTTGCATTATCATTTTAATGTATGTCATGAGTTTGCTTGGATCTTGCAGTTCATTCTTTACTTTTGAAAAATCACATATTATCCATATTAAAATATAATAAGTAGGTATTTGCTTAATTGGAATTGAACTTTCATTTATTCTTGGTAAATTTCTAATATAAATTGTTAATTTTTTTTTTTGAAATTTTAACAGCCTCAAGTACTACAGCCTTCCAGCAGCCTTCCCAGACCTACAGACCACGCCCAGGGAAAACTAATAAAGCCACAACATATCGAGGCCCACAGTGAATACACAGTCCAAGACATGTGTCAGGGTGGTGCACACCCAGATGGAAGCTTTACACATGGCTTGCAACAAGAAAACAGCTATGGTTTGGAAGACCGTCCTTTTTCGTCAAGCCCACAGTTCCCAATGGATGTGGTGAAGGACGTACCTTCAGAAACGAACCTGATGAATGCTCAAGAGCCTCATCATTTGGCAAAGAATCAACCTAGTGACATGCAGATTGTACCTACTCCTCCTCAGACACCTTCCCAGTCAAGTACGGTAAACCAGACAAAGAGGGTTAGAAGAAACCAGTCTCCTCAACCCAAGTCCTTGCAGCATTCAAAGCCATCCAACTTGAGTTCTTTGGCACCTCCTCCAGATTCTGATTCATCACCAAGTAGGACTTCCACATGTAAGAAGGCACCAGTAATCGCACCATGTAATTCAAAACATCAGCCAACGTCTAATCACAACAATCTTTCAAATAATTTGAATCTGAAAGTATCTAAACTCCGTCCCCCTTCTGGCTCATTCAAACAAAAACAAATAAGCAATCCCCAACCAGAGCCTCAAAATTTCCAGGTCAAGACAAGCATCCCAAGGCCATTAGCACGATCAAAAGAACTGCAGAATCCACATAGCAATTTGCATTCTGGGGATTATGTGGCCTCTAATCGATATTCTCGTCTTCCTAAACCAAAGATACATTAAGTGCATAGCCATCACCTGCCACTTTGTCTTTTGAAAACAGTCTGCTCTGTTAATAGCGTTATGTGCAGTTTATTACTATGTTGGAGGTTCCATTACAGCAAATCTTAAAATTAAAAGGCAGAAGCTTCTAATAGTTTGGCTCTTCCATTTTCTATCCTAGTTGAACTATATACCATTTGCACATTCTTGTCTCAGGTAAACACAAGTTTACTTATCCATCTCAGAGGCCCAAGTCATACTATTCAGCCCTCTTTCTGCACACCAGAAAAGTCAAAGTATTCCATTTATCAGGCAATATATGTACTTTGCTAATTTAGTCCTGTTGTGGTCCATAACTGTGGTTATCAAAACACCACCCCTCTACTTATTCCTACTGTGAATGTGGTTGATCTTTTAACTAAAGATCCATAGTGATGATGGAAGATGATTGTCCATAAACAGGGTACTGGATAGTGTTTCGTATGCTTATGAGATCTATGCAAAATTTCCACAATGATTAAAGACCAGGCTTTTAGTGGAGGATTCCTTGTAGGTTTTATCCCTCCTTTCTAAGCTCAATAATATAGTCCTACCATTTTTCCATTTATCAGAGAAATTCCCCAGGCTAACAGTTTTTATTACCAAATATATTTTGTTATATGTAACACCTTGTTTCATATACACATGTACTATTTGCTTACATTGCTATTAGGTAAATTTGGAGAGCTTGAGATGCCTAAGGATATAATGCTTGTAACCTTTGTTGGTGCTAGAATTTTGCTGATGTGTTTTAAACCTTATTAATTTATGGATTCATCATATTATTTTAGGTTTCCACAACATACTTTGAAAATTTTAAATTAAGTCTTTATTATAATGTTTGTATTTATTTGGACTATTTGTTAATATCTGAAGACTAGAATAATGGACTTGAAATATTTGCACAAAATTTTGATGCAATATAAGGAATTTAGAGCTCATTTTCTTTAAAAGTGAGTTAAAACACTTTAAGAAAATATATATAAATTTAAGACTATCACAATAAGTTTCTTTTCTGGGTTTTCTGAGTTTCCCTTTTTTATTTTTGAAGGACAGTTTCTTGAAACATAGATTTTGGGAAAAACGAAATTGTAGATAGGAAACTGTACTTCCTTAAGAGATGCTGCAGATGGTAGCTGTGAGGCCTCCAGGTAACCATGTACAGGAACCCAGCCATGCTGCCAGCCATTTCTCAAGCAGTTGCCCAACCCATGCCATCTTCAGGCTGGTATCTGATTAGCTGGCTAAAAAACAACAACAACAAAATGTATCAAAAGGAATTATGGCCAAAACAGTGAAACTGCTAGGGCTTCCTTTTTAAATGTAAGTAGGTTACAAAGAAAAGCATGGTATCAAATGCATTGTGGGAAGCTTTAAAGTCACATTTGCTGCCAATTGGGGGCAGTCTTCCCTTACATGTCACAACCCCTCAAATAAATTTGCTGTTTGGTGAGCTGACCTTTCTTGGGTTTGGGAATGGGTGAACATAGTCTCACACCATAGCACTTTAATCAGAGAAGAACAGATGCTCAGGATAACCCTGAACATAGGCCAGGTGCTATTGCATCATCATGCTGTGAGCAAAAGCATCTCTTCGTTCATGAAAGTGAGCCAGGTTGGCTGCAGCTGTATGTAAGCACATGTGCTTTCCCCTATGGAGAATGAAAACTGCTCATGCATTGCCTATCAGCTACAATCATACCCTATTCCCTGCAATAGAGCATACTAATGTATTTTTTTTATTAGATATTTGTATAGACTTTTGTGAAATACTTTTGCAAGTTGGCCTTATCCTTAGGGGAAAGTTTAAATTTTTAAATTTATTTATAGCCCTCTTGTCTAAGGGAAATGTCTTTGTCGTCTATTAGATAAAAATGTTGATTCCAGTAATTTGTCTATTCTAATCTCTGGCCTATAATTTTATTTTTCCCCTGATGAATTTGCAGAAATGTTTATCTGCCAGTTCACTCTCTGGACTTTGTTGAACCTTAGTCCTGATAGATAGGGAGGCTTATCAACATAGTTTTGGTTTTTTTGTTTGTTTTGTTTTTGTTTTTGTTTTTTCCTTGAGATAAGAGCCTCACATATCCCAGGCTGGCCTCTAACTCATTGTGTAGCCAAAGATAACCTTGGATTTTTTTATCTCTTGCCTCCATCTCCAGAGGGCTGGGTTTATAGGAGTGCACCACTGCACCTGGTTTTATATGGCACTGGAGGTTGAATCCAGTACTTCCATGTGTTTCAGACAAGCACTCTACCCTAGTGAGCTCAGTCCCCAGCCCTCATCAGTATCTTTTAAAACATAATGTATGCTTCAAATACATTACCTAGAGAAAATATCTAGGATGCATTCACAAACAACATAGAACATTTGCCTGCAGTTTTCTGTAAAAGCTGCAAGAATATCTTGTCTGCTCCTAGTAATACTGAGAAGTGGAGATGAGGTCATAGCCCTGCTGAATAAGCTGAGGTCGTGCTCTCACATTTAGCTTGATCTTTTGATTGCATCTATAAACCAATGCTCTGCCAACTGTCTTTCACAGAAACATAGCTCACTCTGTTCTGTCAGAGAAGATAGTGGGAGTGGGTGAATTCTAAGTGCCAAGGGTGAGTTTTACATTTATGAAAAGAAAATAATACACAGAATTGTTCATTTGGCTTCTAAAGGATGCATATCAAATGATTGTTTCTTGAGCTAGAGTTCTGCTATGTTGCCCTGAGTTTGTTCAAAGGAAGCTTGACTAAGATGTTTATTGGCATACGTCCAGATGATTCCAAGGCATCCAACAAAGGATAATAGATGATTTCTAATCACAGACTGTCTACCTGTTATTTTTCTTTTTTTGGAGTCTCATTTTTCATTTGTGCAGTATATTCAGGCATATCGACTACTGTTGTATTTATATAGATGTTAGGGAACTTACTAAGCATTTTAGTAAGTAAAAATTTGAGTATGAGAGAAATGTCAGATATGCACTTTAATTGAGCATAATTGCTTGTAGTTGTGCCTGAAATATCAAATTGCCTCCTGTGGGTGTGGCTTTGTTTAGTGAAATGAATTTCCCTGTCAATGTTGCTGTTTGAAGGAAGCTAGCTGTACAGCCTTTCACTGAACTGTATCCCAGCATGCCACTTTACCCATGATAGCACTAAGTTTTCTTTGAATGTCCATTGTCCCTTTTAAGTATTTTACTCAATGTATCAAAGACAACTTGTTTCCAGTAACTGTCATTTCTGAAAAGTCCCATGCCATACATGGTGTTCCAGACACTGGCGCTCCTCCCATTTGCCACCAGAGTAATCTGATCAGCTTCCTGGGATGCACTTTGGGATCAAACGAGCTTATCCTGCAGGCCAGTAAGACTGCAGCACCATTTCCACACCCTCCATTCACACTGTAGCTTCTGTGTTGCTGAGTTAGCTTGGGTAGTTACGTTTGCATGCTTAAGCACACATTTGAAAAAATGAAGTATCGCCGTAATATAAAAACACGAGGTTTTCCTTGGAGATGGTGGCCTTGCTGTTTTCTTGATTCTGATGCTTGAGTTCTATTTTCAGTTGGTCTTTCCACAGGTCCCTGTGAGTTTCTGCTGCAGCAATTTGAGAGGATACATTTGGATAGATGATTATGAGGTTTCTATAATTATGTAATTGATTAAAGATTGTGTCTTCACTGTTGAGTAAAAGCCACCCACTTTCTTCTTGGTAGTGCATTGCCATGATAAGTAGTGCTGGCCTTGAGAACTTAGTCATGACTAAAACCAGAAACAGTATCTGCAATGTTGTTTTCCCTGTTGATTTTACAATCCAGTTCAGAGTACATAATGTATATTAGAATTTGCCTGTAAAATGAATTATGGAAACCAGATGTAAAGTCTTTCTTGAGCGTGTTGGCTTAGTAAATAAAAAATAAAGTTCATAATTATAAAAATGTGCTTGTCTCTGTACAGTTTTCTCTTATAGCTTTCTTATATAACATATAGGATACTGCTATTTTTTTAATTCTGAAATTTTATTTACAAGTTCCCCTCCACACTCATGTTATACCTCAAGCCATGATACCTGAGAATTTCAGGACTGAGAGTCCACATCTTCACTGATAGCATCTTTGGTTTCCTCTTGAATTAAGTATCTGTTTTAAGACAATATTAGGATGGATCATGAATATAAGAAGAAATTACCTTGATTAGAAAGCTATGCAAGGGAGAAAACACAATTTTAATTTTCTGACATTCTTAAACAGTCCATATATAAAATACCTTGAGTCAGAAACATGTTTAATAAAGTTTTGCACACAAAAAAGAATATATAATTATTTCCTAATCAGGTATTAATGAAAAATTGATAAAAGCATAATGCCATTGTATTGCTCCAAAGTGGAGATATATATGTGTGTTTGTGTGTCACAGAAAGAGTTGAGGAAAACTTCATTGGTAAGTTTCACAGTAGCAATTGCTTCCTCTAAGGATTCTCTCTCACCTTCAAGGCTTCAGACTTCCTAGTGATCACAGGCTTTCAGTAACTCAAGTCTTTTCATTCAGTTGAGCGTGATCACTTCATTGTCTTCACTTATACATGTCGTTCTATGTTTTCATTCTAAAACTATTTCCCCACAGAAAGGACAGTCAGACAGAAGACAGGCATTTCTTCTGGTGGTTTTGAGGTGAGGCATTGTAGTGGTTCTGCTGGTTGCTGTGTGTGTGCAGCACTGAGTGGGTCCTCTGCCTGGAGCTGAAGGCCACTTTAGGAACAGTCACCCTTCCTTGTATTCTGTTTCTCCTTTTGAACACAGCAGTAAGGTGGTTTATGCTGACTCTTATCCAGCTTCGTTCCATTCTGTGCTTTAATTCTCACACTGTTCCATTTGATGTTCTATTATGTTTGCTCTGAGAACAGGGATATGTGCATTTCAAGAATATAAATAAACATATATGTCTATATTCAAGAACTCTTCCGCCACATAACAGTAGTACCCTGCTTTCTGCTGTAGTTTGAAAAATTTAACATTGAGATTTCTCAGTCTTTCTAAACTAACTTCCCTTTTTACCACCTCACACTGTAGATCTCATATCTGAAGTCTTGCTGTGGTATTCAGATCTGTGACTGCCTTCCTCCCATCTCATTCTCTTATTCAGACAAAATCTACCATTTTGAAGACCTTCTTTCCAGGTAATCTCTGGAGAGAGACAGATTATCCAGACCCTTTTCTTCATTTATGGGTCACCCCCCCCCATAGCTCTCCACTTAATATCTATCCTGTGTAAAAATGATAAAAGGAAGAGTCCTCACAGACTCTTCTGCTCCTCAGCTAGAAACATGGAATTGCTGTTTCCCAGATTCTGAAGCATGACTTGCTACTTAGTTCATTGACAGTCACTTTAGGTCTGAAAATTGCTTCTTTGGTAATATTTCAAGTAACAATAGACTTTCTAGAGCATAGTCACATCTCAGGTGCCAGTCACTACTGTGGAAGGAACACTAGATATGCTGGCTGTGCACCTGGCCCCGTGGGCTCTTGTGGGAGGCCCAGCAGCAGAGATGCCACATTCCAGACAGAACTGCAGTGTTTTAAGTGGATACTACAGGTGTTCCAGGCCACAGAGTAACCCTCATTTTGAAAACCACGTCTTCCACGAATAAGACTTGCATTTGGAACTTTTAAAATGATGGATAAGCAAAAATAAGATTGTTATCACATACTAACATATGAAAGGCTTATCAGTCTGAGCCTTTCATAAGCACGTTGTCTCACAATTGTTTTAAATTACAGGAAACATAAAAGTTTCCAGGACAATTTGTAACTGATGTTTTTGTAGGCATGTGGCATAGTAAGGTAGGTCAAGGGCAAATGTGAGTTGCACTGACAAAAGTAATACAGTTTGTGATGGATTATTAATGTACCCATTTGTTTAATTTTGTTACTAATGAGATGTGCATACAAGACTGTCAGAGTCCTGGTAATAGGGACTGCCTTAGCCAGATCCAGAGATGGACAGAGCATAGGGAGGTGCCTGGGAAAGGACTTCACCAGCTGTGGGTGCCCTGTGAAGCCTGGTTCTTTTTCTGGCTGCTATTATTCTGAGAGCTCAGCTTGGGCAGTGGGGGGACCTTTCAGAAGTACCAGGCATTCAAGGGGAAGTCCAGGGAGCCATGACTTCCTACACTTAAGAATGATGCAAGAAGTCACAGCATGAAACAATTATAGAAGTACCAAGGGTCAACAAAATATAGCAAGGCTTTGACCCTGAACAGCTGTTTAAGACACACATAGTGCTATGACATTCTGCTTATGATACATCTTTGTATTCAAAGGATGTTGGTGTGGAAAGCCAAAACAACCCACATCTCAAGAGAATGACTATTAAATTCCACACACAAAATAACTTCACAGCCAAGCAATAGTCTTAAACATTTACAATATTCACATTATATTCACAGTATTCAAAATACCTGTTTTGTAACAACTCGTAAACAAGATAAGATAGAGGCATTGCAATCATGGGTAACGGTATAATACAATAACAATAATGGTGGTACCCAATTTTAGACATTTTACTTTTGTGTCTTTTTTTTTTTTTTTTTTTTTTTTTTTTTTTGAGACAGGGTTTCTCTGTATTGCTTTGGAGCCTGTCCTGGAACCAGCTGTGTAGACCAGGCTGGCCTTGAACTCACAGAGATCCGTCTGCCTTTATAATACACATTTTTAATTGTGAGGGCACTTTTATAGAGAAAAGTTTGTATGTGTTTTTTAATAAAGTCATTTCTCTCAACATTCAGTAGCTGATCACCCCAGCCACTGAGTCAATGAGCCATCTGTTTATAACTTCCTACAATATGATTACATTTTAAGTCATTTATGCAGTGACACAGCTAAAGGGCCTGTCTATCTGACATCAGAGCTAGCACTATGCTTCATTTATTCATTCTTTATCTCACTCAGGTTCTTAAAGTTGAGAATGTTTTGAGATATAGTTGAGATAGCTCAACTATTAGGGCAGATTTTGTTCTCCTCAAACTTGGGCCATTTGTTCGCTTGGTGCATACAAGCTGGGCAGGGGGAGATTCACCCTACCTTACACCAGCCCTTCTCCAGGTTCTCCAGGTTCTCCAGGTTCATCATTGGCTCTGTCCATACTCTCCCAAATAGGAGTGCCATAGATGTAAATCTACTCTGAATGGTGATTTCCTGGGTCCCATGGCAAAAGGTCTGTTTCTCACTATATTAACTTCACCTTCATGTCTGGAAGGACAGAATGCATATACACGTGGGCAAGTTTTAAACAATGGCTGAATGGTGCTAGACACTAGAACAGGCCCAATTGGGGTGTTGGGGCTTCTTGGCTCACAACTCCCTTTGGCTGAAGACTTGAGGCTTTGTTTGTTGATGCCTGCTGCCACCCAGGCTTGGATGAGCTGAAGGTCAGGCCACTGAATTCTGCTGCCTGGTTCTGAGCAAAGGAAGGGGAGCCCGATCTTTATGCCAAGCAGAGTTGGTCTGCTCAGCTTTCAGCGGAACAGTGCCTGCATAGAGCTTTCTTCTTAAAGGATAGGTTTATTGATTGCATTCTATGAAGCAATAGAGGGCTAAAGCAAGCTACCCAAACTGAAGCCGCTATTGACTTATTTTGTACAAAGAAATAGAATTCTCACGATAGCAGCTATTCTCCTGTTACCATTATTTCTGTTCTCACTGGCTAGCGTCCAGTCTCACCAATGTGTCTCAATATCTGCTAAGTGCAAATGAAATTCTGCGATTATTTTTCTCTGCCTGAGAAAAATGGACATTTTCCCTTTCTTTTGGAGCAAGCTCTTGTTGTATCATTCAACACTTACAGATTGTGTGACAAATTCAAATGTGGAAGATAAATGCCTTACCTATCCACGTTTACTGTTTCATTCTTTGCTTGGCCTCATGGGAAGAAGCTGCTTCTGCAGGTCAGGTATGTGATGGCTGCACCAGGTACAGGGCCGAGGCAAGTGATCAAGAGAAGCCCTCTCTTCCCAGTTTGGCCTGAAGGCAAAGAAGTCACAAGTAGTCTTGGTGCCTTTTAAACTATGTGGTCTGAGCTTTCTCCAGCCTTCGAGTAGTCTCATCAGGTTAGAGGATTTTGCTCAGTTTCCCTTGGAATTTTATATTATACATTGTATATTATTTGAAAATTAGGCATCTTTCAAACAAGGCATTATTCCCTGGGCCCATCCTCCTTCACAGACTCACTGGAGAGAAGATTCATCGTCTTTATGTAGGTTGATTCCCAAAGCTATCTGTTCTTGTTTTTTTTTTTCCTCCTGAGTTAATAAGGCGATGTATGTATGTATGTATGTATGTATGTATGTATGTATGTATGTAGATTCCTTACAATGTTTCAAAAAATACCCAGGGGAAAAAATGTGGTCTTATTGAGCTTGTACTGATTTATGCATATAACACATATTGCATATGATTTACATCATATTGGGCATTGTAAGTTATTTTGGGGACACAGAGTACTTGAGGGGATGTGTGTAAGTTATATGTAAGCAGTATACAATTTCACTTAAGGAATTTGAACACCCATATGTTTAGGTACCTTCAAGAGCCCTAGAACCAATCTCCTTCAGACACCAAAAGACAACTGTACTTCACTGAGTTGTATTTTTACATATACAACTTACCCAGTCCAAGTATATAGTTCAAAGACATGTTAGTAAGTTTATCAGGTGTACAGCCCTTATTATAAATCCATTTTAGAATATTTTCATCACTTAGTAAAGACCTATGTACTCATTTATTAATGCCTACTCCTTCCTGTCATATACCACAAACCTCCTCTTTTGTGTCTATACATTTTCTCTGTTTTCATGTAAACAGATCATATAGGATCCATATAGGATATGGAATATCTTATATCAGACGTCTTCCATTTAGCAAGTCCTAGCACTTGTCAGTTC